GAGGACTAAGGCGTTCCTTACCCTAGACACATGACATTTTCAGTTGCCTCATATGCATGTTAACATAGCATTGAATAAGGAAGGCTGTGGAAGAATTGATGCATTTCAGTTATGTGTTGGAGAAGACTATTGAAAGTACCATGGACTACCAGAAGAACTAACAAATCTGTCTTTGAAGAAGTACAGGCAGAATACTCCTTGGAAGAGAGGATGGCTATGCTTTGTCTCTCATCCTTTGGACGTGTTATTAGTGGGGGTGGGGGAGTGGGGAGCCGATCCCTGAAAAAGGACATTATGCTTGGTCAAGTAGAGGGTCAGCAAAAAAGACAAGACCCCCAACAAGATGGGTTGACCCAATGGCAGCAGCCGTGTGCTCAAATGTAACAATTGTGTGGAAGTCACGGGACCCAGCAGTGTTTTGTTCTGTCGTGCAGAGGGTCACTGTGAGTTGAAATGGATCCAACAGAACCTAATAACAATAGGAATTGCTCAGGTGACAAGGATGGGAGGGTGGGAAGATTGGGATAGCATAGGATTTCAGGCAAAGGGAACCACATAGAGACATTTAGTGAAGGTATAAAGGCACTGGGAGATTGATCTGTATGGGACACTTTGGACAAATGCAATTAGTTGTGGTCTGAGTGCAGAGTGTGTGTGGGAAGAAGCCAGCAGGCATCAGTGTTGAACAGAGAGCTTACAGAGTGACTGCAAAGACCCTTGTGACTTGCCAAGGGATGTACGTTTTATTTTCTAGGAGGGAGCTAGGCAAAGAGGGAGTGATGGTTATTGAGGCCTGATAAGGAATTGTAGATGACTTTTTATGGGAGACCCAGGCTTCTTGGCCAATGCATTTCATACATAGCCAACTTCTGCCTATTAATGGAAGCTGAGTGTTGCTCTGATGCTGAACACTCTTCAGCAGAGCTTTCAGACTAAGACAGACTACGAAGAAAGTCCTGTAAATCTACTTTTGAAAATCAACCAATAAAAACCTGATGGGTCACAATAGTCTGATCTAGAACCAATCATGGGGATGGTGCAGGGCTAGGTAGCATTTTGTTCCATTGCACTTGGGGTCACTGTGTGTCAGCAGCCAACTCCTTGGTAGCTAATAACAACAACAATAACACATAATAACATTAAAAGCTGCATAAAGGTAACTGAAGGATGAATTTGAGGTGGAATTGTGAGATGAAGGGTTCTGTTATAAGGTGATTTGTAATTGCCTGGCAAGAGAAGACAGAAAAAGGAGGGGGATACACCAAAGGCATTGCAGGAACAGCTGGTAGGGCTTGAAGTGAATTCAAAGTCAGGCTGAGGAAGAGGTAGGGGTCAGGTTGCCTGCCAGGCTGTCAGTTGGTGTGATTGAGGACTTGATATTATGCCTTTTACTGAGATAGGAGAAATGTGGATGGACTGCTAGGCAGGCTTGAGGGGAACAGAGAGCAGTTCATCTTTAGCGATCTCCGTATTGAGAATGGCCTTTGGTAGGCCACAGGGCTGACCCCCTCTGCCGTACGGTACACCTCCGGATAGCAGAAGCTTCCATTCCCGAACTGATTTCAGAGCAGTCTAGTGTCTGGTACCATGGTAGTTACGAATCAGGCTGTGAACCTCATTGTCAGCAGTTCTAAACTACTGTTCCACAGGAGAAAGATGAGGCTGTGTGCTTCCATACAGATTTACAGCCTAAGAAACCCTGTACAGGGTCGCTATGAGTCGGAACTGACTCCACAGCACATAACCAGTCTCTTAAATTGAAGGAGAACGATTAAGGGAAAGCTCTAGGTTATAAGGACTTTTGGATAATGGTGGTTATGGTGTGCCCTCAAGTCGGTTCCTTGTATAGCTCCTCTGTCTAGGTTTTTTGGTGTGGCGCTGTGGGTTAATGCGCCAGACTGTTTGAACTGCAAGGTCAGCAGTTCAAGCTCACCAGCAGCTCATCGGAAATCCTATACAGGGTCACTGTGGGTCGGAACCAATTCAATGGCACTAACAACAACAACAACAACAATTTGGATTTTTGAGGCTGTAAATCTCTATAGAAGCAGCAAGTCTCATCCTTCTCCTGAGGAGTGGCTGGTAGATTCAAACTGCTGACCTTGTGGTTAGCAGTCCAGCTCATCATCCACTATGCTACCAGAGTTCCTTTGAGATATTGTAAGTAATATATAGAAAACTCTATGAAGTAGCTATGTTTATTATAATATGTTATAAATGAGGAAACAGGTTTAGGAAAGAATTGGCATGTCCAATGCCAGCTGGAATTCAAACCCAATGCTTTTTGATGTTGTGGCTTCCTGCTGTCATTGTGATCATGATCAAACCCTTAAAGTGGCTTCACAGACTCCGTATGATCGACCTGACCTACCTTCCCGTCTCATCACGTGCGGCTTTCCCTTCCTTGAACGTTGCCTGCCTTTTACTTTGGGGCTTACTGCTTTTACTGATTAGAATATTCAGTAATTCTAATTACTTGGGTAATCATCCTTTAGATTTTAACTGTCTTGGGGGAAAAAAAAATCTCTTTTACTCTTGGAGTAAGGTATAGATCTCTGAAATGGATTTGTTTGGCAACTTGTGCTGATTTTGCCCTTCTTATCACAGTGTGCGGTTCCATGTTTATTTCTGAGCTGATTTATGTGTGTCCTCCAGTTCCTTGCACTTTAGAGATGGTATCTATTTTGCTCATAAGGATATCTACAGTACATTGCCCCAAAACACCCAAGCACTTTGCCCACAAACTGATTCCAATTCACGGTGACCCCACATGTTTTCAGTGGCTATAATACTATGGAAAGGAGCTCTGGTAGTGTAGTGGTTACGGATTGGGCTGTGAACCGCAAGGTCAGCAGTTCGAAACTACCAGCTATTCTGCAGGAGAAAGATGAGGCTTTCTGCTCCCGTAAAGATTTACAGCCTTGGAAACCCTGTGCAGGATCGCTATGAGTTGGAACTGACTCCATGGTAAATAACAACAACAACAACAACAACAAAGATTTATAGCCTGGAAACCCTGTATAGGGTCGCTATGAGTCACTTCCGACTCCATGGTACATAACCACCAACCATAATCTTATGGAAGTAAGATTACCAGGTTTTTCTGTCTTGGTACCACCAACCTTTCAATGGAATCTAGTACCTGGCAAAGAGTAGGGGTCAATACCTATGTTTTGAATGGAAAATTGACATCAGAGACCTAGACTCAACCATTTACCATCCAAAAAATGTTTTAGAATATTCTGTTTCATAGAAATATACATTTTCATCATAATGGAAGAGCTGTGTATAGTGACAACCACTGAAAATATATCACATAAAATGAAGAGTCAGGTAATTAATAGACACTAGACTTGGGGCTTTGAGACTGAAAACTGGCTAATAGACTGTAAGAAATCATCAGCTGGAGAAGACAAGGGTAGCCATTACTTTGAAAAGTGATTAAAGATAGGAGAGAAAAATTAGAAATTTAAAAGATTTCAAGGTAACTTGTATAAAATAGCATATTAATGGATTTCTTATCTCTGTGCCAGACTAGGAAGAAAGACTTGGTAATCTACATGTAGCCAAGTAGAAGGCGAGCAGATAACCTCAGAGCTAATCCAGGAGCCCAGGGTCCACTGGTCGGCCTATGTCTGACTCACTTTTATTAGGTTTACAGTGTATTCTTGATTCCCCACAGAAATGAATACAATACTGAGTACTCTCATTTTACTCTAAACTGTACTTCTAGATTCTTATAGGCCGTGGGCCACGTTGTCAGTTCTGTGAAGTCTATCAGCACACTTTCATAATAATATATACGTTTTAAACATAAAATGGAACAATGGGTTACAAAGGAAATTAATGCTTTATCTTCAGTTTAAGAGCCACTGAGCCTCCACTTGCCCATGTGTCTATTTCAGACATTCAGAGGAAACCTGACCACCAAAGATATTTCCCCTCATTTTGGCAGCCTGTGGATCTGTGCTTAGAGACCTGTATTTTCAGTGAGGTTAAGTGGTGGTACTTGACCATGCTTTCTGTATTCACAAAATTCTTTTATAAGAAATGATCTCTCGTATAAGTCTTTGGTTTATTCTGTAATCTGTATAGGAAACATATGGGATTGTTACTCATTTTTAAAATAATGAGTTGACTATCCCACATCCTACAAAAATGACCCATGCATTTTGCTTAAATGTTGTTATGGGGTTTGGGATTTTATCCAAGTTGATATGTTTCAAGTCATCGGTTATCATTACTATTTTGATTCTTGAATGGTTTGATCTTTAGCCAAGAAAAGCTTGTTAAGTTAGTCCTTGTGTCTTCTTGATCACCTTCCTTGCTTTCAAGCATGACAACATGCTCTACACTTGTCTTCCATAACCAATCATTTAGTTTTACTCTGTTCTCCTCATCTTGTCCTGACCCTTGGAATCGACCATTTAATAGTGCAGATTTTCTGAATCCCATTGTATGGCATTCAATTTAGTGACTGTGTTATGATTACTAAATGGAATCGGAGATATTTGTAGGAATGGTGGTTGGTGGTGGTTGTGTGCCACTGAATCAGTTCCAACTCATAGCAACCCTTTATAGGGTTTGCAAGGCTATAAATCATTATAGGAGTAGAAAGCCTCATCTTTCTCCCGCGGAGCAGCTGGTAGTTTTGAACCGCTGACCCCTAAGGTTCGCAGCCCGATTCGTAACCACTACGCTACCAGAGCTCCTATAAATCATTATAGGAGTAGAAAGCCTTATCTTTCTCTTGAGGAGTGACTGGCGGATTTGAACTACTAACCTTGTGGTTAGCATCCTGACTCATAATCATTAGGGTCTCAGGGCTCCTGTTGATAGCATTAGTTACATTTTAATGGGTGGTAGATGGTGATTAGAAAAAAGCATAATGGTTATGTTATGAAAATCATTAAAGGTTTGATCATCAGTCTTGCATGAATGTGCCTGAAATCCTTGGTAATCAACCAATTTATATATAAATATATATCTTTCCTCCCCAGTTAATGTCCATCAGTGTGTTGGCGGTTTCTGCGTGGATGAGGGACTACCTGAATAATGTTCTGACGTTAACTGCAGAAACAAGGTAGGCTTCATGATTAATGATTCATTTCTTTCATTAGGTTTCTTCAGATGCTGGTTTTTAAAATAACTCAGCTGTTTAGGTGGTAGTGCCATTCCAAGATCATTTGGGAAGTTGTTCCTACCCATGGGTTATTTTGTATTTTCCAACGTTCTTATTATGGTGTGCCACTGCTTTGAGAAAGGGTCTGGGGCAGCCGGTTTCCAAGTCTATTTCTGGGCATGGTGACAGCAGGCACCTATACTCTAGACTGTCTTTAAGTCATGTCGTAGTTACATGGAAAGGACAGTTATTTATTTTTGTACATTTTTGCTATTTTTCCCTAGAAAATCACCTTCAGCTTCTTACCTTCACAATCCTGACTTAATTAAAAGCAAAACCCACAGTGGCTTTCTCTTCTCTAGTTTTAAGTTTCGCTTCATTAACACCACAAGGGACCAATTACTTAACATCTTTTAGTTTCACTTTGTCTCTGAATGACAGTTGTAATTTATGTCACTCTGATTTGTCATAAGGATTAAATGAGATACATTTTTGTAAAGCCCTAACACAATGTCATTAAGTAAGCCCTTCATAATGGCGTTTATTATTATTCATATAATTATATTAGTAAAAAGGAGCTCTGGTAGTGTAGTGGTTATGAGTCAGGCTGCTAATCTCAAGGTCAGCAGTTTGAAACTACCAGACATTCCATGAGAGAAAGATGAGGCTTTCTGCTACTTAAAGATTTACAGCTTTGTAAATCCTATGCAGGGTCACTATGGATCTGAACTGACCCCACAGCACACCACTACATATGCATAAAATTATAATGCATAAGTTTGCTATATAATGTTATAGCAGAACTCATCTTTCTCTCTTTCTCGTTCTTTTACTATAAACAGGTTGTCTTCTGTATAGCAATCTCCCCCCATCTTGGGGAAGGACCCATTGTTGGGAAGAAGGGAAGAGCTGCACATAGAGTCCCAAGTCAGACGAGAGGAGGACTAATCCTCCCAGCTGAGAAATAGCAAAGCGTCCAATGCTTTACTAAGGCTAAGATTTCAGAGCTAATGACACGCTCACCTGTAACCAAAACACTAATGTTCCCTCCACAGGAGAACGATGTGGCAGTCTGCTGCCATGAAGATTACAGTCTTAGCCACCCTATGGGGCAGTTCTGTTCTATCCTGTGGTGGTAGGGGGTGGAGATGTGCTGTGGAGTCGGTTCCGACTCATAGTGACCCTGTACAGGGTTTCTGAGGCTGTAAATCTTTACGGGAGCAGAAAGCCTCATCTT